GTAGCCTTTTGGAGCTCATTTTTTGGAGGGTCCCGGGCTCAATCCCCCCTGTGGCCCCGCATCTCTGCTGGCACCTGGTTTTGCTTCATTTTTCCTCTTCGTTTCCTCTTCGGGGCTGGGTTTTCGACCCCTTTGCTTGTAGCCCTTTGGGGCTGCTTTTTTTTGGGGGCCTGGGCTCAGCACCGCATTCTTGTTGGCTCCGTCTACTAGCTGTGCGTATGTGGGCATGTAGGTCTGTATGTGTATATGTATGTATGTGTGTACGTGTGTGCATGTGTAGGTTTGTATGTAGATATGTCTGTATGTAAGTGTGTGTGTGTGCATATGTATGTGCATGCATGTATGTACGCATGTATGTATGTATGTCTGTCTGTATGTATGTATGTATGTACGTACGTACGTACGTATGTTATGTATGCATGCGTGTACGTTTTTTTTTTTAAAGTATCTATGTACATATGTATGTATGCATGTAACATCTGCATGTATGTATGTATCTGACCCACTGCGTTGTTGGAACCTTATCATGAAGATGATCTGTTTCGTTTGGCTTCAATTGAAAGTGTGTTTGCCTCTAAACATCAACCAATGATCAGGTCGTCTCAACATCACAAGAGATATGGTGTTGATATGCCAACATGTACTCAAGTGTTGGTCGCATGCCCAAGAACAACAACACTAAGCACCGCCAAGCATCTCATCCATTAGGGACCTGTTGTCTTGAGGGGTTACAAAATGCCATTGCGGTGCCTTCGAAAATTTTTTTGGTGAGGGTGCCCGGTATCAAACCCAAACGGGTTTCGAAAACACCGCCGGGCAAAGTTTTCCTAAAAGCTTGCCCGGCCCCACCACCCCCGGGACGGGGCATGGTCCCTAATAGAAGGCGGCCGGGTTCGGACATCTTCCTTTCCTTTTCCTTTGCTGTTGGCGTCGGCTCGCGCCGTCCGGCGTCCTTACCTTAGGGTTTGGTCCTCGGCTCCTTTCCTTTCCTTTGCCGCGGCTCGGCAGACCTCCTTCCACAGAGGCTCCGGGGGAAGCTTTTCCGAGCAGCCTTTTTTAAGGGAAATCCTTACTTACAGGGGGGTCGATCCACCCCCCCCTGGCCCTGGTGAGCTTGGATCGACCCCCCCGGGGGGGTCGATCCAACTTGTACAAACTGGATCGACCCCCCTGTATCTTGGATCGACCCCCCCTGTGCGGGTTCCATTTGGGACCCGGGTACCGTCGTTGTCTTGGTCTAACCTATGCGTCTTGTGCGGCACGTGTGATGTTTTTTGCTTTGTACACCCCTCATGTACGTGGATACACACACACACACATATATCTAAAGCTTCAAAGACCCTAAAAAAAGTAGACCCAGTCAAAAAAAACAACTTTTACAGAAGAAAACTGTGTTTTTCAAAAAGACCAATATTTTGGAATTCCTGTTGTTTTGACAAATTTGATCATGCCAGGACAACATCTGTTAGATTTCACTTTCGCCACATGTGGCAGCCTCAACATGTCAATTTCCAAAACCAATCACGTTGAAAACATCATCAAAGCAAATCAACACAATAACACACACACACACACGTGCGCGTACATCCCAAAACTAACTATCCCCTTGCAATGTTTCTCTTCACCTCGAGTGGAGATAGCCGCACTTGACAAAATGGGCAAAGGATGCATGGAGCGTCCTTTGCAATACCCTTTTAATTACTTGCATCGGTGAAACTCGTCGCGACACACGCGATACTCGGCCCACCATGTCTTCGTCTATCTGGACAGCGTGGCATAGCGGTGAAATGCAATATGGGGCCTCGCACAATTCAAGTTCAGACTAGACGTGATCACAAACGTGAGCCTTGGGCATAAAAGGCCACAGAGCCTGCCCTTGGCGGAAGCAGATAGTGGCCATTTCCTGGTATAGTTCCATGTGGCGTCGTCCAAGTCTCCCAACCTGATTTGCTACCACTTTGGGCACACATCATTGCTGTACAAAATGGTCATGGCTTCGTTCATTGCCCTTGCTGCTTCTAAAATCTTCACCAACATAGCATCCAACGCATAATTGCGAGTTTCCAAAAACCACACCACGAATCTCATGAGGGTTGTGGTCACATGCCCCTTGTGCCAGCTTCCGTTAGGGTACGACTTTTTGTCTGGCCATTGAATCCCTTCTTTCGTCAGTATGGTGATATAAGGAGTGGTCTTCGAATCTTCTGCCCATTGGAGGAAAACAGTTGTCAAATTTTGGAAACGAAGGTCAATGTTCGAGCCAGGCATGTATTCTGAAATAACTGCAAGCGCTGATCCCAGGAAACACATCCCCAGACCAAGGTGGTAGGCGTGCCAAAGGTCAAATGAGAAAAACCGCGAAGGTTTGTCTGCTTCATGTGGAAGTCGAAGCAACGAAGGGACAGAGGTGAATGGGCAGTCGTCAAGTTGAAATTGCGTGGACCTCCACGCAGCTTGCAACCTGAAATCCTCGAACGGTACATGTACCTGCCCGGCATGACAAAGGTGGCATATCCCTTTTGGTCGGGCAGTGGCTGCTCGAGGCCTCTTCTCGCAATTAGAATAACTGCGAGCAAGGTTCCCTGCCTTGACCAGCCACTGCCAGTCGCCGGAGCACTGTAAAACAGCCATGTGATATTTGGTTTCTGTCGAATCCACCACCCCATTGTTGATGAGGTCCAAGGCATCTTCGGTCATGAAATCACAAATTGCTTGGAATGCTGCTTCATCTTTTGTTCATCTTCGGGAGGCAGGCGGTGACAAATCGATGGGACCAACTATTCCCTCCGTAGTTGAGTTTCATCGAAACATAGGGTTTTGCAGTCCTTGTGGAATTCGCCAGGTCTGTGCCCCGCCCGATGTAACTGTGATAAGCACAAAGCAAAAAAGCATAAAAAAGCTGACTTTTTGAAGCCTCGGCCTTCATCGCCGTGTAAAACCATTGGCGCCGTGCGCGCAAGGTCAATGTTTCTGGAATCAACAAGCTTCCAGAGGTCATGGTTCGGCCTCCAAAGCAGGTAACGCCGCCAAAACTCTTGAAGTATCGCACGTTCTCGGGGAGGGTTCGGCTGGACCAGGCCACACAAGACATGCCAGCAAGAGTATGTCACAAGAAACTTGCACCAATTTCTGAGACTGATGATTGCATGGAAGTCTCCAGCATATCGCATTCCAGGAGGTTTCGGAATGGTTGACAAGGCAATTGGCAGTGACAGCAAAAAAAATTACTGGTAACGTTCTACAAATCTCTTTCCGAATTCTTTTCGCTACACCTGGCCAACTCGTTCAAGCCTGGAGATTTGGCCGCGCTTTCCTTCCCAATGTCCCGAACAACGCCTTTGGCTGTCCTGATAGCACTTCGGCATGTGGAGACCTCAGCGAGCAAGGTACCAGTCCGTACCAAGGTTGTGGATTGTTGGGGTAAAGATTGGTAAGGGAGCTGCAAGTGTCCAATGCTTGTGCGCACACTCACAAACCCAGCACCGGCAGCAACTCAAAACGTGGTTGCGTTCGGCTGTTGTGCACGATTCTTTTTTAACGCGCGCAAAGATCGAACATGGATAAGTAAGGGGATGCTCCTAAAAAAACAGCCCCGTGCAGCGTGCTACCCCGTGGCCAGAGACAATTTCCTGGCTAGCACGCACCATGCATATCCATGCATTGTTTCTCAAACAAAGCTCCTGGCATGTATAGCAGAACGTCAAGTTGGTTTGAATTTAAAACTTCGGTAAACCACATAGCAGAACCAATTCCCTTTCAGATTTGTGTTGACCGTGTCACCTCCCAGATGCATGTTCCGGCAGCCGGGCTTACCTGAGAACAGTAAAAAATATGCAGAGAGAGAGAGAGAAACTAAGCAAGGCAGGACATTCTACACACACACACATATATATGTATGTACATATATATATATACAGATATGTTTATATATAAATAAATAAATATATATATATATATATATGTGTATGTATATATTCATCCATTTATTTATATGTGCATACAGGCTGAATATCAACACACACACACACCTTCCATGGGCATCAGATATTATATGGTAGTTATTCACAAGACCATCACAAAGACTAGATCCTACAATCATCATTGCCATAGACAAAGGCATCACCATCCTCATAGCCCTCTTCCTTTCCCACATCATCATCATCATCACCACCACCACCATCATCATCATCATCATCATCATCTTCATCATCAGCAACATCACCCTCATTGTCATCATCAGCAGCAGCAGCAGCATCGTCAGCATCAGCATCATCATCAGCAGCATCATCATCATCATCAGCATCATCATCCTCATTCTCATCATCAACATCATCATCATCACCACCATCATTATCACTATCATCGTCATCATCCTCGTCATCATCGTCGTCGTCGTCGTCATCGTCATCCTCCTCACCATCATCATCATCACCACCATCATCATCATCATCATCAAAATCATCATCCTACATCCTCCACCACCACCACCACCATCACCATCACCATCACCATCATCATCACCATCGTCATCATCATCATCATCATTATCATCACCATCATCATCATCATCATCACCATCACCATCAACAACATCAACATCAGCATCATCATCATCATCAACTTCTTCATCACGACCGTCACATACCCTCATCACCGCCACCATCACCGTCACCATCACCGTCACCATTACCATCTTCATCATCATCAACAACAACAACATCATCATGGTTTTGGCAATCACTGCCACAAAAATAATTGTCAACATCATCATGCATCGCCATTATCATGAACATATTCGCCGACACCAGCAAAGTCATCATCGACACCATCATCGGGACCACCAGCACAGCAAAAAAAATTGGAATAACACATTTATTTTACAATCTCCGGCAGACCTTATGCCGGGCTTGCTGTCACGATCCAGCCATCATGGATGTTTATGCACATCCTGCTGTTGTCATATCATGCTGCTTGCCATATCCTGCTTAAAAGTTGGATGGTCAGTCAACATCAGCAGCCAACTGGGACAACGCAATGCCACCATTGTACTTCAATTTCATGATTTCTTGGCCATCGCCCTCGTAGCCGGGCAAGTTCGCTTCCAAGCCAAGTGCCTTAGCAAACCAGGTGGAAGAGTCAGACAATGTCACTTTTCTTGATGCGGCAAAAAAATATCCAAAAACAAAAGTCTATAGCTGTGCACCTGCACATGAATGTAAAACATCTAGATCCACCAGTTTCAACTGTTGAAACGCAACCTGTTTTTGAATTTTGGTGAGACAGAGAATGGGCCTCATCAAAGCCAGGTTTTCCCAATTTAGTCTCATGCGAGGGTCTTGGTGAAAGCTGTTCTGGGGCGGTGCAAAATGGAAAACTGAAATCCTGAAAATGCTGAAGTGTGCAACCAACACCCAAGAGAAGAGATAGTGCTACACACAAACAAGTTGCTGCCAGCTCAGCGCATTTGGCTGCCACAGCAACACGGTATGGTGCGCAAGCATGCGAAGAATTGAAGGAGAAATGGTGCATATCCTTGCTCAACTCGAAGACATGCGCACCAGCTGTCGTACGTGCCCAGTAGATATTCAGGCGCGACAAAGACAGGTTACTGACCTTACTGCGCACAACTGCTTTGAATGCAGCGTTGGTCACAGAGTCCCAATCATCGCCAATCTCAGTGGCAAAGCCAATGAGTGTGTCAATCTGTTCCTGGGAGCGGAGATTTTCATCCACGACTGCTTCTCCTCCTCGGTTTGGTCGTGCTGCGCTTGCCTTTGCCCTACCTTTAGCTTTCGCTGCGGCCTTAGCCTTAGGCCTGGGAGAGTCAGCAGCTGCAACTGGAACCTTGTTGTCTTTCTTCTTGCTTACCTTACGAACCTTTGAAGTTGCGTGTGCTTTTGCCTTTGCCTTGCTGGCATGACGCTCGGCCTGCGCAGGCTGCATGTCTGTTTCACCCTGATGTTGATTTTTTTTGTTTTCTTGACCTTGCTGGCTGCTGCTGCTTCGGAGTGGCCAGTGGGAACGCTTTCCTTCATGGTGCGGGGTTTCTTTTTGTTTTGGGGGTGGTTTTCAACCCACCAATCAGCAAGTTCTTGGTTTCTTTTTCTCAAGATCTTGATGTTACGCTTTGTTGATAACATGCTGAAAACAATCTTTCTTCAACCAAAAGAGACTTATGAACTTCCTCAGCAATGTCGGAGGATTCATCACGCGTTTCCTCACTGTCTTGTGAGCTTACGTAGTATGTCACAGGTGCTGGTTCTGTTGCCTCAGAGTCAGCAAAGCTAACCTGTTTTGGCTCCTTGAAAGCACCATCATAGCATACATATGTACACCTGTCAGCTCTTGTAGGTTGAATACCAAGCGAAATCAGAAATTTGTCAAGGCGGTTCCACCATCTACGTGGTGCATCCGCAAGTCCATAGACGGAACGAGTGCACAAACCAACCAAGTAAGGAGGCAAACCAATGTCAGTAGGCAACTGAACATGGATAACGCGTCGGTCCAAGTCGTATGTTTCCCCCTGAAGGAAGGCAGTTTTCAAGTCTAAATGGAGTAAATCCCAGTACATCGATGCTGCATGCTGAGATGCCACACGAAAACCATACCTGGTAGCAGTAGGACTGTCAGTCTGTAAGTCATACTTTTGAGCATCTTGAAAGCCTCTACATACCCATCTAGCCTTGAACTTCTTGAACTGGCCATCCTTATCAACCTTGATGGTAAGCACCCATCTGCCAGTGACATAGTTATCAATCTTATGACGTCTCTTGTCTCTGAAAGTCATGGCAGTGAAATCCAGAAAACTTTTGAATTCTTCAAGCTTGGCTTGTTTGATCTCCTTAGCATACTTTCTCAAGACTTCTTGAGTGATAACTGATTCTGCCTTTGGCTGCTCCTTTCCATTCTTGGCAAGATACTGTTCAAACTGTTTGAATCCAGTAACATCGTATGAACCAAAATCAGGTGCAGCTTGGACCTTGGGTCCTAAAGGAACAAAAACAGTACCATCAACATTGACAAAATGAGAGTGGTCTGATGTGTAAGGTTCAGTGTCCACATCTTCTTCCTGAAGCTGAGCAATGTCATCCTCAGTCAAAACAGGAGTATCGTCTGTTTCATATGGTTCTGTTTCATCATCATCATGTTGTGATGATACCAATTCTGGTGTTGCGCTGGCTGCGCAAAATCACCTGGCGTAAACGATGTTGGTGTAGTAGTAGGCAATGGAATTGTATTATCATGTGAACTTGAGGCAGTAGGATCATGTGAAGGTCCTTCATCTTCTTCATCATGAGGTTTCTGAGTAGGAACTGAAATTGGCTGAACATGTCCTGGTAATTGAACCTTTGGCCTCTTGATAATCACCTTTGCCTTTGCCTTTGGTAAGGCATCAGCAGAATCAGTTGAGATCTGTCTCTGTTTCCTTTGAACTCTGATAGGCTCTGACGTCGGATCAGGTACTGGTGGAGAATCGTCATCTTGTCCAGGATCAGCAATCTCTTCGATTGGAATGTCAGGATTGGAAAACGGAGTTGATGGTGAACTTGGTTGATGTGTTTCCCCCGAGTCCTGTATTCCTGGCATATCCAAATCATCATCAGGTGGTGGTCCATAATCATCTGGAATGATGTACTCTTGATCATCATCATCATCTGGATCAGGTCCAGTATTGTAATCAAGTTGATTATCATCATCCAGAGGATCTTCTGGTTCATTTCCACTCAACATCTCATCATCATTTGGTGGAACATCACCATGCTGATCTGGATGAATGGGATCGTCACCATTTGGTGGAGTGCTACTTGAACTAGGAGGATTTTCTACTCTCCTTTTGATAGCACCAGTCGTTTCTCGTGAAAAGACGATCTTACTCCATTCATGGATTTTGAACTGTTCATGATGTGGATATAACTGTGACACAAACATGAAGTAAACATGATCATAATCACCAGGTTTCCAAATGAGTAATACAGCATCTTCAGGATGTTGGAACAAAGGATTCACTCTTCCATAAGTTCCTCTGAACACACTGCAATCTTGAAAGTATATTTGAGGCAATGTCTTCTTCCTGACATCTTGAAGTCCAGGAATCAGTTCAATGATTCTGGTATCAGTTGATTCTCTGACACTAGCCTCTGTACTCCTTGGCAACTGATCAATCTTTCTCAATGTTTGAACAAGTAGCTGAGTGGTAAACCTCTGTGGAAGGATGTGCTTCAATGGCACTGGAATAGAGGTCTCAACATGATGCAAATCTTGCAACAAACACGAGCACTCAGGTTCACGGTCCAAAAACATTGACGTGCCACACAATGCTCCATCATCAAAATGTTCCAACAGATCTTCAAACAAGAAATACTGTCTCATGTCCCTGAAGGGTACAAGTTGTGTGAACTGTGCAATGAACGAGCACAAGTATGATGGTAAGACCTTCCATTGTGGATCATTCCAAAGCTTCCCTTCTCTACTGAAGGCATGCTGTGGTTCCAACATGTCAAAATCTTCATCATGATTGTAAAACACACGCAAGTTTTTGATTGAAGGATCACAACGACAGTAGTTCGTCATATCAAGGTTGAAACAACCTATGTGATACTTGATTCTGTCCTTCTGAAGTTTCTTCCAAGCCAAGAACTGAGCAAATCCTGAATCAGGTGGTGCAATCACCAGGAAACCTTTTCCTCGGTCAACTTGCCATTTCATCACATCAAGGCAAAACTTGAATACCGAGTATTTCCAGGAATTTGGTGAAGGATTTGTGATCAACACATATTCAGGATCAAGCTTCTCAAGTTGTTTCCAAACTTGGTTTTGTTTCTTCTTACTGTTGAAACTCCAGCCATGCTTATGGTCAACGGGTTCACCAACCTTCATGTTCAATCGTGCCATGTGCCAACTAAGACCTGTGTTGCTACTGAAGAGTTCCACAACATCACACTTGCCAGTTTGACAGAACCAGTGAGCTTGTTCACCTAAGTAGGCTTCAGCGTATTCAGCTATATCTGGTTCATAGTCATCTTCATCTTCAACTGCAAGTGGGACAGGTTCTGATGTGTCAAGTCCAGGAACAGCAACATCATGCCATTCATCATGGTCACGTCTCACCTTTGATTGATTGACACGCATGACTGCATTGTCAACATGAACATTGACCATAGCACCTTCTTGAGAGATAACAGTACCTCTGATCCATCTTTCCTTCTTCCATTCCTTTGAAGCAATAGCATTAGCATTGACAGGGGAACCCCAAACGAAAACCTTGTCACCTGGTTTGTAAGGTCCATCTGATGGCATTGTTCGTTTGGCCATGTCATGTCTGAGGTCAGCAGCTTGTCTGGCTTCCTGATGTGCCCTCAGTGCTAACCTTTGCAACTCGAGTTGTGTTTTGTCTTAAGGTAAAGGATCAACACTAAGTTGAGCAGGATCAGAAGTCTCAATGTCCAGAAGATCTGGTGG